AACAAGATAAAATACCTTATAAAGTTACACAGAACTTTCCATGGCAGTATATTTCCATGAAAGCCACGTCGATATGTATCTATTATCTTTATTTATTATTTAAATTACATCAATTAATCTTCTTAGAAAGCATTTAGAGAAATGCTGTTTTAATGGGCAAAAGGGATGTGGTAATGCAAACAGAGGAAACACAAATGTAGAAAGATATCTGGCAGTGAGAGCAGAGCAAGTTAATATTTCAAATGACAATCTTTTACAGCCGCAAGGGAGCTCATATAAACTCAATTATTGTAACGGCAGCAATAAAATCAGATATTCACAGACTGCAGAGGAGTTGCACACGATATGGAGAAGTCAGTGGTGGATTAGAAAACACAACAGTAGGAAAATTACATTCGTTTTTAGCCAGGCTTTAGTGGGTGGTAATGACTGTCCAACATTTTGCTCAGGACTCAAATATCTACATTACATTACATGTCATTTGTTAAACACTTTTATCCAAAGCGACTAACATACATTCAGTACTGTGGACAATCCCCACAGGAGCAATTTGGGGTGAAGTGTCTTGCCCAGGGACACAACGACATGCTGTCTGCAGTGGGACTCGAACTTGCTACCCCCTGATTCGAAGTCCAGCACATTACCTACTGAGCCACAGCCTCCCATTTACAGGAAGGACTGACATAATATTGTGTAAAAGTATTGAAGGATATTCAAGGATCATTTGACAGGATCATGATACAAAATGCAGTTGTAGCTTAAAGTCCATTTTACCACATATCAGGGATCAGGGTCTTCAGTGGAATAAAGCTTGAGCTGTGCAGGGATGAGCGGCCATCTTATCATACTGCGTGTGTGTGTGTGTGTGTGTGTGTGTGTGTGTGTGTGTGTGTGTGTGTGTGTGTGTGTGTGTGGCTCTGAAATGCACACACCTCACTTTATCATCAAACTGGACAGGAATGAATACTTCATCTGCGGAGCCCTGCTGGCCAGCACAGGTGTTCCTCATTCCCCTTAATTGGGTCTGTTACTGTCCACTGTGTGTGTGTGTGTGTGTGTGTGTGTGTGTGTGTGTGTGTGTGTGTGTGTGTGTGTGTGTGTGTGTGTGTGTGTGTGTGTGTGTGTGTGTGTGTGTGTGTGTGTGTGTGTAAGGCAAGGTCATTTTCTCTTTACTCTTTAGTAAGTAGTAGTTTAGCAGCTGCACAGAGCAAGCATTCAAAATACCAGGACCCTTAAACTAAAGCAAATTAAATCCATTCAGCCATCACCATGTGTATATCTGTAGCTACACTTGTGCTTGTTTCCTACTATGCAAAACCAAAACACTAGAGTCTATTTTTTTTTGGAGGGGGGGGTTCCAGGGTTTGATAGAGTCCATCATCCCTGTAAATACTAATTATGCTCACCCATGGTCCATCTGACCAGGGGATTTCACCTGAAATGCTGTGTGTGTGTGTGTGTGTGTGTGTGTGTGTGTGTGTGTGTGTGTGTGTGTGTGTGTGTGTGTGTGTGTGTGTGTGTGTATGTGTGTGTACAGACCATATACAGTATACACACAGTGTAAATAAAATATACCTTTTGCAACTAATGCACATGATGAAGCAACGTTGTTGATGTACTGAATTACATAATTTGTTTTTGTTGTCCATATTTGTGCTGTTGCATGCTAGGGTAGTGCTAGCAACTGTTATAATATGCTGCTATTCAACCCTTTTTTTTGGGGTCAAATGGCTGAGGTTTTATCTCAATCTGACTTCCTATTTGACATTACGGTTAAATATATAGTTTAACTTTTTTTATATGAGTTTATTTCACATGTACAGTGCGCATTAATAAACATTTCTGTAAAGACGCCATGAGTTAGCCAACAGTGTATTTGTCATCTGTTGTCCCTGGACAGATGTTATAAGTAAAGTCACCCCTAAAAACATATTTAAAATAATAAGTTAATACAATCATTAAAAGCATGCAACATAGATGCTTATATAACAAAAAAAGCTCATAAAACCAATAAATAAAACATGTATTTAATACCTACATACCTTGAGTTCAGTGCTCTAAAACAGCAGGCTTTTTTTCACAGCAGATATTTCTACCTGTCAGTAAAAAAAGCACAGGTGTGGATAATAACACTGATTATGTCAAACTTCATTCCAGCTGCTTCAGGTTCAGTTTCAGGGTCTTGTTATTTTGCATGTTGGCTCGCTGTCAAACTGCGATGACTTACGGGCACACTTTAATAAAACCAAGTCATGCAATTCAAATGCAAATTGCTTTATTTTCCGTGGGGAGTTTCGTTTGTGCGGTGGACAAATGGGACATGTAAAACATAAAAAAATCTAATTCAGACACAAAAGCTTTGGATAAAAACAGGAGGACCAGCCGGGGGCCGTGATAGAGCAGCAGTGTGATACAGTGCTGGTGTTTGTGTTTGAGTCATTATTAAAATTGTATTAGCAAACACCTGTGCTTTTCTTACAATAACAAGTTAAATGTCTGCTGTAAAAATGGCATTATGGTTGGCAAATGCTTATATTTAGACGTTAAAAAATACATATTTAAAGTTTGACAGATGTGGGTTGTGTTCAGTGTAAGAACCAGGATCCTTGACAGTAAAATGACAGTAACAGAAAAGTTAAATAACAGAAAGTTTTGAGCATTTTAATTTGAGTTTAAGACACAGAGTGAGCACATTTTTCAGAAAATAAGGACATTTTGTGTGGTTCCTTTCTTAAGGATTCAGGGAATACATTATATAAATTACGTACAAAAATGTTGGGTTTTTTGTGTGTCTTTTACCTTAGGACGATCTAGAGAAAGAAGCCAAGACAGTTGGTGGATTTGATTACCACTTCTGGATTAGCCTACCTCACATAGAGAAGGACAACATTGCAACACAAGTATCATCTAATTTTAACATTACATTTTGTATCTAATTGATTTGTTCAAGTTTATTATTGAAGATGCTGTCCTGCGTGCATTTAGTCTTTGATTATGAACAGCCCAGCGAAACAAAGTAGTATTAGCCTGTTTTACCTAATGATATTGAAATATAAATAACACAACATTATCAGCATCAAAACAAAGGTAACATTGATATTCAAAAGAGACACAAAAATGACAAATTCTTGTATCAAAACCTCCGATAAATCAGAGTTAAAAAAAAATGTCTTCAATTAATCAAAGGCTGGTGAGTTGAGGCACTTTTCCACATCTGTCAGAAACGTTCACAGATGTTATTTATAGCTCACCTTATCTATGCCTGTTTCCTCTCCTCTCTCACTCTGTCACAGATACTGGGATCACAGCAGCTCAGAGTCAAATCACCAGCAGTCAGGAGAGGAGCATGGAGAGGACCGAACCACCGCAGACAGACACACAGAGACACCGTCTGATGTTCCCTTGAGATCACATTTATAAACGCATCTGCCAGATGGATGTGATTCAGCTTGATTGAATCCTCTAACAACTGGAACGTCTGGAAAGTACACAGTTGTGAGCGAAAAATCTACAGAGTAATTGTTACATGTTTGGGATTACAGATAATTAAACACACACCAAATATATTTTGTAATATACAATGTATAAACAGAAAATGGTGTATTTTCATTCAAGTAGAAGTTGCTGAAACTCTGTGTATGTTTTAAGAAAATGAAATCAGTATGTATCAAACATAGGACTTTGATTGACAGTAACATAAGATAACATATTGTTTTGACTGTCCATTTACAATTAATGAGCCTTTTGTTGAATGTGGTTTTATGTTTTTCTACCAAAGGACTTTTATTTGAATGTCAGGTATTCCAGGTCTGACATTAGAAAAAGGTCTTCACATGCAAAGTTGAATGCCACGAATGCTAAAGTTTGGGCATGGTTATTAGAGTCTGTCTGTGCTCTTCAACTTCAGGGGGAGATTTAAGCAAATTCACTTTTCAAAACAGAGCCCCATTATTTTCAGAATTGTTAAGGTTAGTTAAGTTTTCCCTTTACAATGGATCTTGTTGCTTCACTGCACGACTTTAAAGACCAAGTGTTTGTAAGTAAAATGTTCTTTAACCTAACTTTTTTATGTCTCTGAAATCCACACTTCCACACATCCTGCTGACAAATTATCCAGTTGAAGTATTATCATGTATGTGAATGCACCCTCCGACTATACTGAACATGTGACATCTTAACATTGCAGTCTTCTCCTTCTTCCAAGTACGGACATGAGTTGTGCGAGATTTAATTTATTTTGCCCTCTTGGATGCAACTGAAATATTGAATTGAGTTTTAATATTCACCATCGGTCAAACCATTTGGCTGACAAGTGGGTTTCTCTAAAGCAGTATATTTAGTCTTTATGGGTATGGTACTACTGTTTTCCTTTATATTTCATTATATTTCATAAGAATTAGATATTAGATATCCCACTTGCCCTAAGCCCATGGAAAATGGCTGTATTACAGATAGAACAGGGGGCACAAACAAGTATGTGGTGTCTTTGAACTTTTAACAAGTTGAATATCGCAAGAGATGCACACATATGTGTAAAATAAATCATATTGAAGAGATTTAGTAAACGAAATGTTATTGTTTTCTTATTTTTTTATAAAATCCAGACTTTGACTATTGGTTAAACATTCATTTTTAATCTACAAATGTTAAAGGTTTACTGTTAGATAATTGCCCAAGGGATATCCATACCAGATTTAAAGCTTTTAGACAATTTACAACAAATATTCTGGAATTTTTAGATATCATAGGTCTAGTTTTGGGCGCAGTCTATGTACATATAAAGGATTGCAGGGTTCTTAACCAGAAAAGACAATAACAAGAGACATATCCTCTACCTTTAACCGTTTTGTGCCCGATCTGATTTATCTTGGGACTTATTTTGTGAACAACATATTGATCCTCTCTGTTGAAGGAGGTTTAAATCGGATCACCGCTAGATGTCGATGTGCTCTCTGATCCACTGATTCAGATGCATGATTGACAGCTGCACTTATCCCGCCCCTTTCACCTTACTGTCCAATCAGCGATTACGTTGCTTTGTTGTCGTACGTGCGCTGACAGCGGAACTGAACAACGAGAGGGGAGCCTGTCTGCCATAAACCAACACAATAAGGTACATTTGAAGACATACAGCCTTATTTGATCATTTTCACAGATGCATATACGTGTGTATTTTTTTTTCCTATTATTTAGCTGGATAAATGGTGTGATTTAAACCACTAGAACGGATTAAAATGAACTGAGGCCTAGTGTCAGCGGATAAGTGAAGCCTGGCGGTTGGTTAGCCGTTAGCAGCAGAGCTAGCATGACACACTGAGCTCGATGCAGCTAACACGCATTTTAGAGAGAACTCTTACTATAAAAAACATATTCCTACGTGAAGCGAAATATATGTTTGTTATGTTGAGCACTTCATCTGTCATTTGCATTAATGTCTGGTGACATGCAAGGTGATTTAGCGGTGCAGCTAACGTTAGCGTTTATATAGGGACAACCAGGGAGTTCAAATACTTGTATCACTTCAGAATCAGAATACATGTATTCGTCCTACAGAGGGGACATTTACATTGTTAATATTAATTATGAAGCATGCATCAAATATTCAGAATCAAGTTTATTGCCAGGTACGTTTACACAGGAATTTGCTTTGGTGTCTGGTGGTGCAAACATTAACAATCTAATAAAATAGGTAATAATTAAAGGTAAAAGTAGAAATTACACAGTTTACAATTCACAAAATACACATCCAGTACCACTTACAATTGTGAGAGTACAGCCAGGTGATAGTATTGAAAGTGGAAGTGTATTGCACAGTTATTTACAGATGTATTGCAGTATATACGTTGACTTGTCTAGCTAAGGGACATTACTTAATTCCTTGATCACAACATCAAAGCGACTTAATGTTTTGATTATTTCAAAATGTAAGACAGTTATTGGAACCGTAAAGAGTGGATATCTATCAATGTATTTTTCTAATAACTCAAGTCTCTGTCTTCTTATTTGAGACTTTTTCCTTTTATCTGCACTCCCTGGGCTGGTAGTTGACGTGGACTGAAAGCAAAAGTAAAATTATATTTCTTTCTGAAATGTTACTCAAATTACATATCACTGTATTACTTAATACGTGAATAACTCAAAACTTTGTGAGACCCAATCTATTTCCTTAATTATGTGATGTAATATGAACTTTTCTGTGCGGAAGTCCTAATAATTGTCTCCTGGTGTGACATTATGTTTAATGATAATATTTAATTCAGAGATTGTCAGACAGAGTAGAAATATATGCTCAACCATTATCAAGTTGTTTTAAATATTTCCCTACAACAATAGTAATCAATTTAAATTTACAATCATGTTATTGAACTACTAAATGATCTACACATAGGGACTTTTCATAAAAGTTTGGGTTATTTTCATTATAATAAGTATGAAACCTGATTGAACTAAAAACTATCTTTACATATTAGGGATGGGAACGATTAATCGAATATTCGAAATTATTCAGGTATTCGAACATGAGAATATGAGTTATGAATATTCTTTAATAAAACATTTTTTGGGAGGGGTGCCTAAGTTGATTACATATTATCAAATGGAATAATTCAATGTATACGACAGTGCCATAGCTTAATGTGTTAGGTCTAAAGGTGTGTTTTACTCCGCTCACCGGTCCCTCACAGCGGGCAGAGCTGCAGGTGCTGATCTCTCTCTCTCGCGTCCGGTTATACTTCACTCGCGTTTATGTCCAAATCCATCAGATCTAGCTAGTTCTAGCTAATGATATGGCTGCTGCCCCTCCCTACACGCAGATCACACAGACTCAAACCTCATCTTATGCCCAAATTCCAGCTGAGAGGGTCTTCTCTACAGCTGGCCTGATTATGAATCGCCTCCGCACCCGCCTCTCCCCTGAGTAGACATGCTCATATTCTTAAACAAGAATGAGTATTGAATAGCTGCATTCTGTGCATAGGCCCTGTTATAGGTTGTTGATCTCTGTTGTAATAGGGTTACGTTACCCTAACCCGTTATGTTGTTTGTGTATGATCCCTCTTTAATTAAAAAAACAAGTTATGTTTTAAGCATGAAAGCTGTAGGCCTATAGCTGTCAACTGTTCAAACTGTGATCACCAGTTCAATACATTTGACGAATTCGACTTGGTTTCTATACTTATTTGAAATTATTATTATTATTTTTTTTGTAAACATTTTTTCCACATTTATTATTTTTTTTTATAATATATGTACATTTCGGTTAATCGGTTAACCGTTTTTTGGGGGGTCGAATATACATTTGCTTTCAAATTCCCATCCCTATTACATATGCATAGTGATGCTATTACTCTTCTTCTATTCAACACTTTTCTCAGGCATTTGAGAACCAAAATGCCTATTTTCTTTACTTTTCTTTTTGTCGCACCACAGGACATTCTGTCACACCGATGGACACCATTACAAAATATGCCAAGTTTTGTACAAAACCTTTATTATTTCATCTCTACTCTCTAAGTAGGGCTGCTCAATTATTGGTTTTTCAGTTAAATTATACTTAAAGTTCAGGGTAATCAACTGTTAAAAACATACTGTTCACAATTTTTTTCTCCAATAAATTGATGTTTTCAAAGTAAATGGATAATCGTTTTTAATAATCGTGATATCAATTATTGACCAAAATAATCGAGATTATGATTTTTGCCATAATCGAGCAGCCCTACAGTATCTCTAATGTTATATTCTGAACATCAGAACCAACAGTGCTATTTAAAAAAAATGATTGGCAAACAGCCATCATAACATCATGTCACATCATAACATGAACATAAACGGAAATGTGAATAACAATGGATAGCTTGAAACATATTCAAAACAATTCATTAAACAATTCATCCATAAAACTCATTAATGTTCATTCATGTAACATTCAGTAGAGATAACCAATTTCATTTTTCAGTCAAATTCATTGAACAATTGATAAAACTCATTAATAAAAACATTCAGTAAAGATAAACACATTCATTGTTAAGTAAAATTCAGTCACATCTGTAGTTTGACTCGAGTGGTGAAACAATGTCCACTAGCTCATACTGTAGATTTTGGTGCTTGCAGGGTGCGTACGGGTGCTGGAAATCCTTGGAAATGCTTGAAATTGTACGAGGTGTTTTCAAGGTTTGAAAAGTGCTTGAATTTTGGGAATGGTGCTTGAATTTGGGATAAAGTGCTTGAAATTGTAAATGCTTTACTTCGCTTTTTAGATTAAAAGAAAATAAAGAAGTCGGAGCGCGCTTAATTGCTTCGCTTTTACATAAAACAGCTCCGCTCCGGCCTTCCCGCGCAATGCGCGTGACCGGCAAGTGTTTTTTGTTACGTGGGTGACCTGGGCATTCTGATGAGAGTGATAGATGACAGTATGCCAGGAGGTTGCCGTGTCAACGAGCGTTGGCTAGCAGAAGACAAATACAAGCCATGGCTAAGACGAGGGTCAAGCGAAGCCCAAGAGTAGCCTCCTGCAAAGTGTGCAACAATAACGATGCGAGAGTCTGCGCTGACGAGCCACACACCACACGAAAGGTACGCGGTAGTAGAGCATTTTAGATTAGGCTATCGTTGCATGTAAAATACATGACACTTTTCTCTGTGCGCGGCAAAACAAGCTCGCCAAAATGGCTTCACTAGTCTGGCAGTATTTTAAGTGTCCGAAAATGACAATAAAATAGCGGTATGCAACGTGTGTGTGAAGCAGAAATCCTGCAGCTCCACCCGCTGTGACGGACCGGTGAGCGGAGCAGAACACACATTAAGAGTTAGACCTAACACACTTAGCTATTTTATCTACCTCTGGAACAAGCTGATTCCGGCGATCGGCCCCAAAATTGGCGATCGGAGCATCCCTAATAATTGTATATGATATGTTTTATAATGATTGATCATTAAAGTGTTATCAAAGCTGGTAAAGGTGCAGCTAGTTTGAATGACTTTGTATACTGCAGGGTAGCTTGTGAATTTACTCCAGGTGGAACTAAAGTCTGATTTAACACTTGATTATATTTCACATCATTCATCCAGATCTGTAAAGTAACTAAAGGTATTAAATACATGTAGTGGAGTCAGTACAACATTTACCTCTGACTGCCATTTACCTCTGACTGCCAACCTAAAAGTACCTCAAAAAATAGTAATCAATACTATATTGAAAAGTTATTTGGCTGATTGTTTTATATTGGCTCAGCCAGGTTATATGGGATGCCCAGTCTACGTACAGATGGGTCACACATTTTGAAATATTAAACTTATAGCATAAAGAACATCTGATTTAATGTGAGGTAGGGAAATAATCATTTGAGTATGTGTATATAAATATGTAATTTACAACAGCTGTAAGATGCTTGAAAAGCTTGAAAATGCACCTTGAAAATGCTTGAAAAGTGCTTGAATTTGACTTTGGAAAAGGTGTAAGAACCCTGTGCTTGGGACTCGCATCATGTTTCTACATTCTTTCAGATCTCATTGAATAGTAACCAGTCATATTTGGTGAGCTGTGCAGCACGCTGGTTGGGCTCTGGCTCGGAGATGACACTGGCGATTTGTTCTCTGTGGTAGAAAATGCAGTCTGGCACTTGAATACATTTCTCTTTCCATGCTGAACCATACAGTTGATTTCAATGTTGTCAAGAAGTAGCTTGGTGATTTGACCAATAAATAGTTTGTTTTCATAGCTAACTATGACAAACTTTCCCACAGTGTACTCTTCATTCTTCTCCACATCAGTACTGGGACTCTCAGCATAGGTCTCCTGGATGCTGTCTGGCTGCAGGTGATCAGAATTTGCATTCGAAGAATCGTCCATCCTCATCTTAGTTGGTTTGAAGCATTCACACATCTCTGGGTATTGGCAGAAGCAGCTCAGATCCCTGTAGTAAATCTCTCCTGGACAGAAAGAAAGTATCTGGTGTGTTTTAAGAAGCCCGGGGACTTTTGGAACTGATGGTGGCAACATTTCATTGAAGACATTAATGTCACTTTCATCAATCCATTTGAATCGGATGTTCTCGACTTCTCTGTTGATCAGAAATGCATACAAGTCCTTCGGATTTTGTAAGTCTTTCCCCCCAT